TTTCAGAAGCAGAAGACTCTGAAAAAGGAGTAGTGAAGGGGGAATAGTTCTGAAGAGATCTTTGAGACTCCTCTTGTAGAAGGAGAGAGTAAATGCTAGACAAAGTACTTTTCTCAGTGTTAAGAAGAATTTGACTTCTCAGATTAGCATATGAATCATTCAATCCAACAAGAAACTTCAGAATAGACTCTTTTTGGATAATTTTTTGATATGTTTCAGAGATATTGCAAGTGCAATGACCACAAGTACAAGAAGGAATGATTCTGAAATTACAGTATTCATCCCAAATTTCTTTAAAAGCATTATAGTAATCAGTAATAGTTCTAGAGCCTTGAGAAAGATTTGCTAGGGTTTTTTCAAGTTGAAAAAGTCTAGGACCATCACTTTTGCCATATCTAAGTTGAACCTCATCCCAAAGTTCCTTAGCATTGGTAAAAGAGAGAAAAGTAGTACGAAGAGTAGGCGAAATTGAGTAAATCAGCCAAGATAAAAGAAGAGCATTGACACGATACCAGCAAGAGTACATTGAGTTATCCGGATTAGGCTGTTCAATTGAACCATCAAGGAATCCCATCTTGTTCTTCACCGCCATAGCCATGGAGACAGATTTCTTCCAAGCGACAAAGTTTTCTCCAGTAAGTGTCTCGTAGATGACTCGAAGGCCAGCGTGATCACTCGGATGAAGGTAATATGGTGATGAAGAGTCTTCGGTAGGATGTAGCGGTAGAGCCATAGCAGTTAGGGTTTGCAATCGATTATAGGAATCGATTGAAAGGAAATCGATTATAGAAATCGATTGAAAGAAGATGAAATCGATTACGAAGAATCAATCAGAAAAGAAGAATGAATCAGTAAGGATCGATCAAGACCTTAATCTGATACCATGTGAATTCTCATATGAATACAGAGTTCTTGAAGAAAGAATGCGGAAGACATGTACAGTTAGATCTCGTATTAGGAAGACTGAAAAATTAATACAAAAGGGTTAACTATTCTATTTATACAAAAGGGCTAATAAGCTATATTAATACATTAAAGAATAGAGCAGTCCAATAATATTTGGGCCCAAAGTGTTTCGGTCCAATTCTTTATTCTTGATACAAGAGTTAGGGTGGGAGGCCGGAAGAGAGGGTTTATCGAAGGCGGGTTACGGCTTAATTACTTTATAATTCTTTATAATTTTCCTAATTTGTTTCATATTTGGAATTAATTAGGATTTTTATTAGGAGTATTTGTTTCTTATTTAGATTTACTAGGATTTGTATTATTTATTTCTTATTTGGAGTTGATTGTATTATTTATTTCTTATTTGGAGTTGATTATTAGGATCTCTGTTAAGTTGTTTCTTATTTGGAGTTGATTGGGATCTCTATTATTTTGTTTCCTAATTGGAGTTGATTAGGCCCAAAATCATTTCTTTATAGTATATTTGAGTAGGTTGAGTTTTGACCCTAAATTATTAATTTTGTATAGTCCAAGCAGCCCAAAGGCCCGAAATGAAAAAAAGCGGAGAAACTAAATGTCGTCGCGCCAGAGATACGCAGCGTATCGTTTGATTTGTTTCCATGATGTTTTCAACCCCCCCATGCCTCTGAAACTCACTCACTGACGTCGCAGTCCAGTCTTCCAGACTCAACACAGCTTTCTTTCGCCGACGGCCGACTCGCCGCCTCACCGGTTCCGCCTTGCAGAGTTCCAAGCTTCCGGCCTTCAGCCAAATAGCCAATCAGCCTTCAACCCTTTAGTCTTCACGAATCACGAGTTCTGATCTGCCGTTTTGCCTTCAGGCTTTTAAACTTGTGGTTATCATGTACGCCTTCCAACGCCCAGTTCTGGCCATTGTTTATTTGTTGTATAGAATAGTTTTTAACATTCTCCTTTGTTAATTTATTTGAGTAGTATGAACATATGATTGTGTATTTGTGTTATCACTTTAGTAATTCATAAATTGATTTAATTCATAGTTGTTGAATGTTTATAAATGATTATGAATAGTTGATAAATAATTGGATGATTTTGTGAGATGTTAATCACTTAATTGATGATTGTTACCTTGGTGTTATAATTTGTTCATTTTGTTAGGTAAAAATTTTCAATTATAATTAAAAAATTTAAATTTTAACTAATTTCAAGGTTTGATAAAAATGAGTGAATCCGGACGGGAGAAATTAAAAATTATATGCGATCAACAATGTCTCAAAAAAAGCTTATTGGATGAGCTATATTAAACATTGAGCACAATATGTTATGAAAGCTTGATTATGAAGCTATAGTTGATGACTTCCCCTCACAATGCTCAACAAGGAATGTATTTAAGTAATTTTTTTTTTTTTTGTTTTTTTTAAATGTGATTCGAATAGTAATGTTTTCTTTATTATAAAGGTATTCAAATAGTAATATTTTTCATGTTAATTTAGATAGAGATGTATTTTACAATTTTTTTAAAATTAGGCCCATTTTAAATTGTTCGCCTCTAGGCCTTCAATTATACAGGGCCGCCCCTGCACCTCGAGTTCTTTTGACCTGACAGTAAGGTTGTCCAACTCTGCAGAAGATTTTATGGTGCATCCTTTGTATCGTGCCACCTTATATCATTCATAAAAGCCACAAAAATGAGCATTTTTAATTTTTACAACTTTGATGGTTTAGATTACGCGCACGCGCAGTCCCAGTCTAGTTTCGGGTACTCGACCGTTTCCAGACCTAGTATGCCAATTTTTATATTTCTTTAATTACGGTTATTTAATAATATTAAATTAATACAAATAAGAAACTATACAAATTAAAAATTAAATGCAAGTTTATTTGAAACATTAATGGATTTGTACATTTATGAAAACATATCCCGCCTTCTTGCCCGTCCTCTACTGGTTGCGCTTTTTCGGTGGTGACGTCCTTCAAGTCTTTGTAAATTTCGGGGATGATTTCTTGATTTAGAAACTACCCGCCTTATCGCAACAAGGGTTGCACTATTTGTTCGTCTGACATGGCATCTCTGGATCAAAACTCGTCTCCCAATCATCATTGGCTCAAGACGAAGAAATGTTTTCCCGACTTGACGTTTACCAAGGGAATGCGAAGAAGAGTGAGAATTTAAAATATCTTTCGTATAGTTGTCATTCTAACGATTAGTTAACCCATCCGCCCGCCCCTTTCAAGTTAAAAAAAAAACAATAATAATAATGTGATCATTAGGATAAAAATCGAAACTGCCCGGTGGGGTCCCAAATAGGGGGTGGACTCAACCGTGGTTCCGGTCCCAGATCGAGCCAGGTCAACCCCTAGTCCCAAACTCCATAATCCAAGACCGGGTACCCCATCTACCCGGTCAGATACTCGATCTTAGCCTGAGACCGAAAAACGTAGTTGGCCCGGTCTCAAACAGTACCGATTCCGGACTGAGCCTTTTTTCAGAATATTGAATGCTCAATGTTGAAAAGTTAGATTGCTTTTTGACATCCAATAAATGATTACCACCTATGGGATGAATATACACACATAAATGTAGCAGAAAAATGTAAATTACTTGTGGACATTAAAGTCAATGGACCTCTTTTCAATGCTATCAGACTGTTCTCAACTTTATTGGGCCTCTTTCAAATGTTATTGAGCTAATTCTAATTATATTGGACTACATGTTGTTGGGCCTTATCAAAAGGGATATTGATATGGATCACCTGAGATGAAATTTAATGATTAAACTAATTTGGATCATTTAAAGTTATCCAATTAATATAATATTTGGGCCCAAATATTAATATAATAATTCGGCCCCTATCAAACTCTACTTTTGGGCCCAATCTTAAATAGTGGCCTTAAATATGAGAGGCATCCAACTTATGAAGAGGACAACAAATTTAGTTAAGAAATATGTCCAAATTCATGGAAAATAGTTGTGAACTTTGATAAGAAAGTTGTGTAGATACATTGCAAAAGTGGTGATTATTTATAGTTATGAAGATACAAGTAATGGAGGTCAAATGTCATTATTAAAGCCAAGAGATATGGGCAAATTTTTGAAGTTCATCCTAACTTATAAATTGGGGGTCTCGGTTGAGACAAATGAGGGAGAACTTCCAGACGAACAAACGTCGCAAAGAAGCACCGAATAATTTCCAAGAGGCTGTAAACCTAGAATTTTGTTAAAAATAAACAAATAATTCTTCGTGATTTCATCCATTCTTGATCAAATAAGTCCAAATTTCAAAGAACGTTCGAAGATTTGAAGAAGGAACCCTTGAAAACGTTAATATCTGAAAACGAAATTTTGAAGATTCGAAAAATTTCGAAGATAGTCATATCAATATTCAGATTCAATTCAAGATCAAGTCACATTGCCCACAAGACTCCCAACAAAATTCTACATTCAAGAACATTCAAAGATTCAAACAACGAAGCTTTTGAAATACAAAGCTTTAGAAGATTCAAAGACCTGAAAAACAAAGATTCGAAGATATCGAAAACAAGGGAAAATTGGACTTTTGTTCCCTTAATTAGTCACCATATTGAAATGTCAAACTTGTGTTTCTGAAATTATAAATGTCACCCCTGAATTGACAGATGTGTTCTAATATGTCACCCCTGGATTTATTGGTAATCCAAAACTAGAATTATAAACAATGAGGATGACATTTCCAACACATCTATGAGAATTCAGGATGTGACAATTACAATTTCAAAAACGCTAATCTAACATTTCAATATAGTGACTAATTGAGTGACCAAAAGTGCTATTTCCCCCCAAAAACAATTAATCCCGAAAACAAAAACATGAAAATTAAAATCCATAAAACATTCGAATATGTGAAAAATTAAAGATTTAATTTTAAATTAAATTCTTTAAATATATTTATTTCAAATTGTAAGTGAAAAATTAGAGATCATATTTAGAGATTGAACCTGCTATTCTCATATATGCAATCAATTTAAACAAATAGTTAAAAAAAACTGTTTTAAGCAATACACAACAAATGAAAATATTATTGATAGGTTAAAGCCATCTAGTATTAAAAAAATTAATATATAAAGGTCATAAATATTTGTCACAACTCCAAATGAGTAATACTGTAATAGGAGATACTACCGCTATGAAAAAATGTGTTTGGGGTGGGAGGGATTTTGGTACAAAGCCAGTTTCTGCTCCACTGTACACAATACAAGGGGAAGTTGTTAATGGAGATTAGAGAAGACTCAAAACCGCATTACACATCTTAACACAACTCAATACAACGGTGCCCGCAAGGCAGTAGCACAAACACATATCTCGAGTATATTTATTAATGAAATATCCATCAGCCAAAGCTCAGGCGAGAATCCGAAATTCGCGAGCTAGTTTGACGCTTTGGGACCCCAATTTCACAAGCATTCACCTTTGCTGCAAAGCGCAGAGAACACAGCGATTCCGAAGTCGAAGCGGGATCAGGCGAAACATTCACAAACATCATGGTCTTTGAGTCCCCGAGCAAACATGGCTAACCATAATATAAACTCGGTCAGGCCAGCCTCAAATTCAGAATAATGAGTGAGTATATTGAGATTCAGAATAATGAGCGAGTATATAATAAAAAGAAACAGAAATATGACGCGTAAATTATCAAGGTCTGATAAATTATAAAGTACCCCAATAATTGAGGGAACTAAATAATGATAAATTCTATGATACCTTAACTGCCCTTAAGGATTATACTTTTTTCAAGTGAACCAATTAAAATATTATATTGAAATTATGTAAATATAAATTAATGTTGGAGTAATGATTTGAACAAATCAAATACATGTTCGATACGGTGCTCATTTTTTAGATGGTGCCATAACACTCACACAATTGAGGGCCAAAAAGTGTTGCATTTGGAGAGTGACCTTTACCTGGAGAAGATATGTAAGCGCAGAATTCCTAAATGGAATATGCTCGTCTTTCTTTGCCAGTGCAGAAATAACATCGCTCAAGGATGATAAACTTTTATTGATAGCCTGCAAACAGATTATATATAGCAGGTGAGATCATATAAGAGAAGGTTTTAACACATTCCTCAAACTATACGTCACAAAATAAATATACCACTCCAATATCTTTTGGAACAACTAAACACGACAGTTCTAAAATTGGAACAATATGTTCTTATAAAAATAGTGGAGACCTATATATCTTCTAATATACCGACATACATATATATACGTATAAGTTATATTCAACCGTTAGATCTTGAAGGGTATAAATGTTGCTTATCCTATATACAAACATACATATATATAGACAACTTTTCATGTCCAGCCGGCCTGACGGGAATTTCGGGCACTTCCCGGTGGAATTTTTTGATGAAATTGTTTGAGCATGTTCTTCATGAAGTCTAGTTTATCCAGACCAAATTTCAGCTAAAAATTCAATCGGGAAGGCACTCAAATAATTTGTTGAAGTTAACTGCGCAGTTTATATGTATGAACTGCCCAGTTAACTTCAACAAATTATTTGAGTGTCTTCCTGATTGAATTTTTATCTGAAATTTGGTATGGATAAACTAGACTTCATGAAGAACATGCTCAAAAAATTTCATCAAAAAATTCCACCGGCAAGTGTCCGAAATGCACTCGGCCGGACGGCGGTTCCCGTCAGGCCGGCTGGACATGTAGACTACTATATATATATATATATATATATATATATATATATAGAGAGAGAGAGAGAGAGAGAGAAATCATCTCATCAGGCCGGCCTGACGGGCTGCCCCGTCCGGCCGAGCCCGTTTGGGCACCTTCCCGGTGGAATTTTTTGATGAAAGTTTTTGAGCATGTTCCTCATCAAGTCTAGTTTGTCCATACCAAATTTCAGCTCAAAATTCGATCGGGAAGGTCGTCAAATGATTTTTGCAAGTTAACTGGTCCGGAAAACTTGATGAGGAACATGCTCAAAAAATTTCATCAAAAAATTCCACCGGGAAGGTGCCCAAACGGGCTCGGCCGGACGGGGTAGCCCGTCAGGCCGGCCTGATGAGAAGAGCTCTCTCTCTCTATATATATATATATATATACACGTATAAGTTATAAGTTATAACCGTATCAGGTTGAGATGAGGGAATCCCGTCATGCCAACTTCATTTTAGGACAACATATGAATTCAATGATCTCATTAATATTAACTACGTATTAAATTCAACCTTTAGATCTTAAATTTATTTGAAGTCGACTTACAAACTCACCTTTTCACCTATAATACTCTATCTAGCGGTTTAGATTAGTGTATCATAATAATGGAAAAAGCTAGTTATAAATCATAATTATCATTAATTAAATACATTAAATAAATATAATTATGATTTATCTCCAGTAGTTAAAAGTCTAGGGGTTGAAACTTGAAACTAATAATCGCTACTTATTAACAAAAAAAAGATGGATCATTGAATTCACTTTTTACCAAAACTGAAGTTGGCCTGAAAGGATTCCCACCAAGCTGAGCCGTTCTATACGACTATACATAACACGCACATGTACACACACATGCATATATACCTGAGTTTCCCTTAGTCTGTCCCCAATAGCCCCACTTTTGGATAGGCGCTCACTACCCGCAAGGTCAATTAGATTCAGAACACCGTGTACTTGCTGCTCCGTGCTCTACAACAACGAAGTTACGATAAGAATGGATCATACAGAGAAATGAATTTATATAACACACAGAACTATATAGGGACATATATATAGAGATAATATGTATAGGGAGAAATATATATATATATATATATATAGAGAGAGAGAGAGAGAGAGAGAATAGATCTCATCAGGCTGTCAGGGAACAACAGCTGTCCGGCCAAGGCCATTTCGTGAATTTTATTATGAAATTTCATTAGGAAGACCTCTAAACAGGCTTGACCGGACGGCGGTCCGCACCTGACCAGATCATCCATCCCTCTATACACATATATATAACAAATCTTCTTACTTCATTAACACCAGATATTTTGAGAGTACACACGAAATGGCTTCTTGAAGAGTGCTCATTCATCTGAGTCTTCCCAATTGACCTACAAACAACGTTTGATTAGTAATTACTACACCATGAAATATTGATTAGTGATTACACTACACCAAGAAATATTGATCAATTTCTTGAAAACAACAAATTAGCAATGACGTGTCCTTCTATACCTGCTTTGTGCTGCTTTTTCTAGAAGGTCTGAAACATTCTTGGTGCTACAGACATCCGCGATAGTAAAGTCTTTTACGTGTGTATTGCCATTCACATCGTGTTTTATGTCAGTTATCTTTGCTCCATTATCAAAACTCGACCGGTTTGGAGACAAAAGGTCCCGTATTGATTCATTGTATATTTCAAGCATAGATACCTTAAACAGAGGGAAAGTGATTTAAAAAAATGAAGATCTTTTTGTTAATAAAACTTAGCTCACAGAATAAAGTATGCATATTCACTGCCCGAACCTTCATGTCATATTTCCATCCTTGAGCTTGATGGCTTTGCCTGGTCTGAAATACCTGATCCAATGCGCGTGGGATCAACCCTTGCTGATCCAGGGACCCTGGATTTCCCATCATTGTGTAAGTTTTGCCAGAACCAGTTTGGCCATATGCAAATATACATACCTGGGGAAAATTTTATAAAACCATTTTCAGCAGGCAAATATCATGCTTCCGTGAAACTTTGACACCATACCACATAATAGGGGTGTTTGGAACTGATTCTGATCCTGCTTCTTTTTAAAGTACAAGCAGAATCAGAATCAATTTTTAGAAGCTGGTCCCCCAGCTTCTAAAAAACCTGATTCTAGGGGTAAATTAGAATCACTTCCGCATTTTTACCCAAACACTCCAACTTCTGCTCCCTGAAAGAGCAGAATTAGTTTTAGAATCAAATCCAAACACCCCCCATACTCTATTTCTTGAGGCGCAAGAGCAAAAAAGAAACATTCGCCTCACTCATGTCAAGCTCACAGTTTAGAAAATATTATATCATACAAAGTACTATTGAGGAATTATCAAAAGCGATATATGCAACATAATACAACAACATCCAAGCTATAGTTCCAAAAGATTTTGGGATCGGCTAACATGAGTCACTAACATGATATCGGAGCCAAAAGGAAAAGAAAGATAAGAAAGATAAATAGATAAGGTATGATAAAAAAGAGTAAAAGAAATACGATAAAGATAGAGATAAATATGATAAAATATTACAAGGATGAAAAGAATATACATAAAATAAAAAATGATAAAAGGATAAAAACATAAGAATGATAAATAAGATAGAAGGATAAATTCAAAACAATGTCATGATTCATAAATAATATCAAAAGTTATAATTTAATAAACAAATTGAATATCTAATACTCAATCGGAATTTATTCCAATCACCCAGTTGTTTATTTGCTCTGCGCCTGAATCCGCCTGAGGCATATCGCTGCACGCCTGCACCTGGAGACTCCCAAGGCACTAAACATATTATTGTGCACTCCTGGTACGCTTACCTACCTTGACACTGCCATTAGCTTAAAGCATTATAGCACAACCGTCCCATTGAGGTTGTTCCACACCATATTTGGTAACATTTGGGTGATTGGAGTTCATTCTTACTTTAGTCATACTTTATCAATTCACTATCCACTACACAATTCCACTTTATTTAATAACTGCACCGCTCCCTCTTGTGCCGACCGTAGAGGGACGGAGATAGTATATACTTATTACACCAGTTTGGTCAAGGTCCATAATGTGCAGCTAGATATTTATGGAACATGACAATAACAATTGTTTCAACTCATCATCATGTTATATATCACATGCACCTGAAAGTAACCAATTGGACAACACTACAAATTTAGCAATGTCATCTCATTATTCCATCTTGAGAAGGTTGTGACTGCAAGGGAATCATCAAACATAAAGCTTTGCCTCAATATTTTTGCATGCATTCAATGTTAAATTAAATTAAATTGAAGGACACAACCAATATTATACCACCAACTAAAATTGGTTGGGGATTAAGGTGACAATGACAGAAAGTGGAACTTTAAAAAAAAAACTCATGTGATATATTAACATGTCCATGTTCAACTCTAGAAGAATCCAGTAAAGCATAACTACATTTAGATTCTTTTTCAGAAAGTTTATGCATGAGTTCAATAAAGTTGTCAATAGGATATGGTAACATGCATAAATTGCAGTTCATGGTAATTAAGATCAAATTAGGTAGTAATAGGGAAATGTAACCTTGTAGCCATCAAGAGCACTCTGTACAAGCTGTGATATCTCATCAAAAACATCTTTCTGTGAGGCTTCGGGCACGAACACTTTGTCAAATGTGAACGAGTGCTTTTGCCCTTAAATAGCATAGGGAAAAAGAAAAGGTAAATAAGATATATTACAAGTACACTGTTCTTTTTTATTGTAATTGGATTGCATGCCAACCATTATGTAACAAGTCAATGCCCCGTCCAAGTGCTTCGGTTGATGTTGGAAAAGATACAACCTTTTCTGCAGTTACAGCATCATCAGATAGAGCAGGCCGCACCCTACAGAACACTCTAATATTTCCTTTTAATTCCTGTGCGAGAAAATGGACCATCACATAAAATTTATCGAAAAGTTACAGCACTCAAAAGGAAAAGTACACAGCACTCCAATCTTAAAATCTTTTACCAGAATAGTATTGTGCAATTTTTTTCGCAGTTTTTCACCATCCACAATTTTTTCTTCTGCCTCCGTAAGACGCTGCTTTAAGTCGTCTATAACTTGCCTTTGCTTTTCAATTTCAGACACCGTTTCCATTGATGACATGTTAGATACCTGAGAAAGTAACGTAGACAATTAAAACTACACTTTCTGTAGTATACGAGGCTCACAAGCTTTAAGTGAGGTGCTATGTCTTTTCGCCCATCAGTGTACCTGTAACTTTTTTTCAGCTAAAGTGAGTTGTTCCTGCAATCTTCTTATTTGTTCACATTGAGACGAGTATATTTCCTGAGAAAATATTTGAAGAATATTGTAGATACATATATCCTTCTAAGGCATATATAAATTAAAATGAAAACTATGAATCCGAAAAGCACACCTCCAGGTCTTTTGACCTGACAGTAAGGTTGTCCAACTCCACAGAAGATTTTGCGGTGCATTCTTTGTATTGTGCCACCTGTTGTTCTAAAATTTTGACTTTTGATAGTTGATTGTCATGGGCAACCCTCAAGTTATGCAGATCTTCTTTTAGTTTTATGGCCTCATCTTGAACAGCCTAAAATAAATATCAATGACTATCCTAAAAACTCCAAAAATCTATAGAAGGGATATCAACTAAAAGAGAAGATTGGGTTAAGCCTTAAAACCTTGGAAGATGAAAGCTGTTCCTGCAAAGATATATAGTGACCCCTCAATGTGCTGAGGTTTTCCACTAAAGCAGCCTTCTCATCTTCCAACCGCTTGAGTGTCTCCTTAGTAGCAGCCTTCTCAGACTGAAGCCCGCTACTGAATTGCTTTAAATTTTCGTTATACTCTTCTACACACTTGAGTTTGTAGTTTAGAGAATCAATCTGAAAATCCAAGACCCTTCCATTATGAGCTATCATCAGCCAGAATAAGTGATAAGATTGCCCAATAAATTCAGAGCAAATTCAAATTTACCTGCTGAACAGCATTTTTGTATTCCTGTTGAGCTTTCGTTAGCTCCTCTGAGAGTGATACTTGCAGCTTCTCTGCTGCTAATCTTGCATCCTTTTCTCTACATAACGAACCAAGGGCTTCCTGACCATCATAAAGCAACTTATTGAGAAATCGTTAATATCGTTCTCTGCAATAATAACAACATCCATGATGATGCATGACTTAACGACATAATACGATTCGTTATACCGCTTTTTCTATTTCCTCCTTCCCCAGATTCTTCTCTAACAATATAATACGATTCGTTAGCTCCATAATGGTTGCGTTCAGTCCTTCTTCCTTCGATTTCATTAGCATATCTGAGAGGAATCCAAAACAAAAAAATGGGTGAACAGATCCACTTTCTCATGATAACAAATTTAGGGGAGAAAGATCATACGCATCTCATTGCACTTCTTCTCTTCTGATTCTAACAGGCTTTTGAGTGACTCCTGCTCAGTAACATGTGCTCCTTCGAGCTGTTGGAACCACTTAATACACTGTCTAAGCCTTTTACTATATTCTATCATTTGCTCGCACTTTGCCTAGAACATTGCACAACGTCAGCAATGACAGACCTACTTAATGGATGGAGCACATTAAACAAATAAACAAAAGGCAGGAAGCCACAAAGACGTTTATATCAGGATGATCAGCTATACCTTAATATTAAATTTGTTCTTAAGTTCTGGCCTTTCAGCAAGGATTGCTTCAACATCTTCTTTGCTGAACTCTATAACTCCACAATCTGAGCCTGCACTACTTGGCGGCCCACTAGTTGAAGGAGGATCCGCATTCCCATTCACCACAGCAAAAGCCTGTCGACCTCGTCTAACACCAACTGTTGAAGAAGGCATCTTTGAAACACCGATCTTTCTCCTCTTGTCTATGGACACCTCATCCGTGTTCAGCTTCCCCTGCTAACAACACAGAATCCCACAGCAGAAATTATTTTTAAAATTCAAATATTCACGAACAAATCTACAATACTGCTCAGTCAAGGCAATGAAAGGGAGATGGGTTGTTTGTGAATATATCAGAGACCCTGAGGATGTTCAAAACTATACCTAAAGATCTAACTTTCAAAACAATCACTACAAGGAATGCCACGCACAGAATAAGTGAATTAAAAGGGGGGGAAACACACATTTGAATGCTAGACAATTTTACCCCCCACTGAGTAAAACAGTCATTCTAGTTAAAGATTACCATTTTCCGTGATTGATAAAAGAAAGAGATGAAGGCCTTACGTTGGAAGGGGTGGAAGGTGTGCGAGGTACAGGCGGCTTGTTCTGGCTCTTAGGAGCCATTTTGAAAGAGGGTGCGATTAATTGAGGAGGGGGATGTAGAGAGAGAAACGGCACAACGGACAGATGATAATGAAACGTAAATTCCAGGGGAATGGATTTCGTAAGGTTTTACGGGGTATGGGGGTCTAGGGTTTGGATTGCATTTGAAGCAACCAGATCTTATCACAGCCCTTGCTTTGAATTGCAGTGAAATGGACTCTCTCCCTGACTATCAGACAATGGTTTCAACCCTAAAAGTGAAATAGCAATGGCAGAAAAGAAGCTGATTCACTCTACCATTTTCGAGTACGCCCTCTTGCCCTGGTCGGTCATTTTACTGCGGAAATGCCGATGGCCAATACGGACCTATGGATTTTCAAAAAAAAAAATACGGACCTATGGGTTTGGATCGGGTTAGATAAGCGGAGCGTAAGTAATATTTTGAATTATTTTGAAATAGAGTTTGGCGGCCGGAGCGTAATAGATACGTTGAATTGATGGTATGACATTCTTGCCCCAACGGTTGACTTCTTTTGCCAAACCCTTGGATCAGCTTTTTCATTTAGAGAGCCCAAACTCTGAAATCGCACAAGAGAAATGCTAGAGGTACCCCATTTTGTACCCCATTCTATATTTGTGGCTCACAAAAATCCAACTCAATTAAAATAATTGCTCCATTTTTACTCATTGCTTTTGTGAACCACAAACATAGGAGGGGGTACAAAATGGGGTGGCTTTAGCATTAGTGATCGCACAATGACTATTTCACAAAATGGATTGAGGCCGAATCAATGGCCACAATCCGGTGTGTGAGGTGGTTCAGGATCAGGTGCGCACAAGGAACTATCGCATTGGATGAAACTTTCACACTGCTGTTGTCGGAAAATGAATCTAAGACATCAATCCAACAATCTCACTCAGCCACCGTTGAGTTAAGTCAGGTGAGAGGAGAAGGCACGGGTCTGATCCAATTCAGGAACCGATGTGAAAACCCTTCAACTAAACATGTATAAAGCAAATTTATAATATACTCTCTATGTCCCTTAAATATTGATCAAGTTTGACTGCCACGGGAATTAATAAAGTAAAAAGTATGTGGATGAGGTTTGTGCAGAGGAGAGAGAATTGACTGGAACCACAAATTCATTACTTAAAAGGAAAAGTGACAATGTTAGTGGGACAACAAAAAATGAGTGTTGGCAAAGTTTTAAAGGACAAGTGAGTAATGACATGTATATTAAATCAAACTCCGTGAGTTGGAGAGGCATCATCTGCTTGCTCAATGTCGAGATGTTTATTTATAATTCCGATCGAGTATGCCTGTATTTTTGAAATTTTTTGCTGCTCCAATCGAGTACTGAACTTGGTTCCTCTTTTTTAGCAATACCCGACCGGTTACTGGTTGGTACCCGATCAGGTATGTTCCCAAACTGCTAAACCCTGCATTTTCTTCTGCTCCAAAACATGTGGTTAATGCCCTCTCTCCTTCTCTCTCAAATTTAAATTAAGAAAGAAATAAAATCCTAACTACTTGACTTGGGTTGCCTCCCAAGAAGCATCTTATTTAACGTCGTGACACGACGTTTTATTTTTATTTTTATTTTTCAGTTTTATGTGGGATCATGAACATCTCTTCCCTTTTTAACAACCTTGTTTGGCTGAGTTTCATTTTTTTTTCCATCGGTCTTTTCAAGTAAGACCGGACGTCTATTCTCATTACCACCTCAATCATAGGTGGATTTAGTTCACAATTTGACAGCTTCCTCCCAATTAAAGATGATTTCACATGCTCAATTTCCTCTTTTCCTTGAAAAATTGGGATTTTAACAGATTGCTTCAAAAACTTTTGTTCTTGTTGTTCAAAAACATTTAAAGAACAAAGAGATTGATCTTTAATTTGTTTTTTCGAGAGTCAAAGATGTTGAACTCTACTTTTTGGTCATCAAACTCTAAAGTTAATGAACCACTACACACGTCAATTTTTGTTTATGCGTTCTTTAAGAAAGGTCTACCCAAATGGATGGGTGTCGTTTGGTCATCATTTCTCATTTCAAAGACATAGAAGTCAACAGGAAAGACCATATTTTCTACTTCTATTGGCACATCTTCTATTGCACCCTTCGGGTAAGTATTAGAACGATCCGCTAGTTGAATCACTACACATGTTTGATGTAGTGGGCCAAGTTGTAGGGATTTATAAACATAGTAAGGAATGACATTTATAGATGCCCCTAAATCCAACAAGGTTTTAGAAAATGTGGTGCTTCCTATCTTGCAAGGGATAGTGAACATGCCCGGATCGCTACATTTTTCGGGGAGTCTCTTTTGAAATATAGCCGAGACACGCTCGCTCATCTTATAAAACAAGGTTTTATAACCTCTTGTTTCCTTTTTAATTTATTTTGCCTTTTTGTTTTACATAATTCTCTTAAAAATTTAGCAAAACGGAGGACACTCTTCATTAAGTTAAGGAGCAGAATGTTTGCCTCACACTTGGCGAAAGTTTCATAGATGTCAGCATTTTTTTCCGGCTTCCTTGTCTCCCTCAGCGCCTCGGAAAATGGGGCTACTAGCTCATAGGGTGAGAGAAGTTTTGCCTTTGTGATTCCCTTCTCCGAGTGAGCTTCTTCTTCAGGGTTAGCCTCCACGCTCTTTTGATCTTCCTTTTCACTTATCAACATGATTGCATTTACATGTTGTCTCGGGTTTTGCTCCGTTTGAGATGGGAGTTTACCCGATGCCTTTGCTTCAAGTCGGCTTACGGCATTTGAAATTTGGCTAACTTGAGTTTCCAAATTTCTAATGCTTGACTTTGTCTCATGTTGGAATTGTATCATAGTTTGTTGAAATTGTCTCATGTTTTGTTGCATGGTAACCATGTTTGAGGTCAAAGCTCGTATCATGTCATCAGTTGACATATTAGGTTGAGAGTTTGAGTCTTGATTGTTGAAAGGTGGTTGAGAAGATGGGTTGGATTGTTGGGGGTTTCCATACCTCAAGTTTGGAGGATCCCTCAATCCGGGGTTGTAAGAGTTTGAGGATGGGGCGTACCTCCGTTGTTGATGTCCTTGGAACCCCAAGGTGTTGACTTACTCTATATTGTCTTCTTGAAGAGTTGGGCATGAGTCAGTGGGATGCCCTTGTTGTGTACAAATGCCGCAGACCTTGACTTCTTGGGTCTTGGACTTTAAGAGGAAATCCTTAACCAAAGAAGTCAAGCCGGCAACTTGACTCTCCAACGATGATGTCGATTCCGCAGTGGCAGCTCTACGAGTCAAGGACCGCCCGTTGTAGTGTCTAGAGTTCTCGGCCAACTCTGAGATGAGATCTCTTGCTTGAGAAGGGGTTTTGTTGACAATTCCCCCTCCACACGCTGCATTTACCATGCGGCAATCTTGATCCACAAGACCATCATAGAAATAGAGAATGAGGTCTTGTTCGGTGTATCTGTGATAGAGGCAGCTAGCACATAGCTTCTTGAATCTCTCCCAGAATTCATACAAAGATTCATCATCTTTTTGTTCAATGTTGCTTATTTGCTTCTTGATTGCATTGATTTTGAGTGTTTATATTTTTACTTTTAATTACTTTTTATGGTGTGTTGTTGTGGTAATTGCACATTTAAGGTGCAATCATTTTATTTTTCTAGTTTGTTGTAATTTAGTAAATTTAGAATCATCTTGAGCAAGAAACAAGCAAGAATCAACAAAGGATCATGGAAGGGATCTTACAAGATGAAAGGAAAGTGCAAGGGAACAAGAAATCATGCAAGAAATGTGATTTGGTGACTTACCCGGTCGGGTATAGCCTTTACCCGGTCGGGTATGAAGTGACCCGGACAAAAAGACGTGCAGAAAACACAAAATCGTGGGCAAAATATTTGATTTTGACAAATACCCGGTCGGGTATCTCAAATACCCGGCCGGGTATCCGGTGCAGCACCTTCAAAACACCTATAAATAGCCCCATTTTCCTTCACTTTTAATCATTCCTTCTTCCATACTCTTAAGCTCAATTTAGAATAGTATTTCTTTTATATTTTTATAGCATGTTTAGTCTCCAAATGAGGAGCTAAACTTCCATTTCTTGGTGTTGCCCTTGAAGCTTGTTGATTATTAAAGTTGTGAGTTATTTTCTTATCTTCTTCCCTTGAATATTAATTATTCTCTTAATCTATCTATATATTAATGTTGGAGAGTGTTGCTAAGATGACAATTAGTTAACATCTCGACATTAATTACTACTAGAAACGATCAACGAACCGATGGTTAATCGTTGATGGCTTCACAAGTAAGTAACTTCGGTTTATTAATGCACGGTCGTGGTTAATAAACTTAAGAGGGATTAATTTTGTTGGTTAAACCGAAACCGTTGTGTTGAGGTTATCAATCTCAATTGATTTCATCAAGGAGTTAAGAGATTAAATGCTACTATTAAGTCGGTATATGGCGGTGTTCTATACTTGACTAATAGTAAGGGTTATTAATGAACGGTCGTTGTTAATAGCTACCCTCGATGAATTGGATATACTCCTCGATTGAGTATTCGAGAGGGAATAAGTTATAGATATAACAATGATCGACTAAAATATATCAACAAGTGGAAAGTAGCAATGCCAAGTCCTTTTTATCTTTAAATTAAGTTGTTCATCTTTATGTTTAATTAAGTTAAATCATTCAATCCCAAAACCCCCCTTTTTATTTACTAGTTTTATAAAAAGAGAATTATTCCTTTCCCTGTGGATACGAACTCTACTACGCTATACTACGTATAAGTGTTAGTATTGAATTTGTTTTGAGTGCACTTCGCGACAAGTGCACGTCAAATTTGGCGCCGTTGCCGGGGAAAGGCAATTATTTTTCTTTTTATTTTATCTCATAAAAATCAAAAACAAAAAAAAAATTAAAAAAAAAAATCTTACTCTTCTATTTTCTGAGCTTACATGAGTTATGAGTATATGGATGCCAACATATCATCCTTAGAGAGTCAAATTTCCTTCTTGACTTCTCTAATAAAGGGATTTATCTTAAACTCGGAAGCTCAAGATGCCAAGACATGCAACATTTGCATGTCTCACAGGCATTTTACGGATTTCTGCCCAAAGCTCCAAGATGAATACCTTGAACAAATTGATGATGTTGGTTACGAAAGGGATGCACCTCACATGAGGTATGATCCGTTCTCCAACTCTAACATGTCTACAGAGGATATGGTCCGGGCTATTGCTACCAACATGACCACCATGCAAAACAACATGGTGCAATTCCAAAATGAGACCAAGTCTAGCATTTCAAACTTGGAAACTCAAATGATTCAAATAGCCGGAGCCGTAAGTAGGCTTGAAGCAAGGGATTCGGAAAAACTTCCCTCTCAAATAGAATGTGATCCTAAACAACAAACTTTTGCAATCACATTGACAAATGAGAAGGAAATGCAAAAGGAGATCCAAAATCCAGAAGAAGTAGAAGAAGAAAGAGACGCAGAGCTCCAGCTAGTCAAAGA